TATATATATATATATATATATATATATATATATATATATATAAAGAAAGAAAAATAAAGTAAATCAGTTATTTAAAATTTTTGGGAAGCTTATGTAAATATGCTATATATCTTATCTTACTTTACACTGGTTCTTTTTTATTTTCATCAGGTTTGTTCATGAAATATGCTCATTTCAGCACTTCATTACATTATTTTAATTCATTTGAGGACTAAAACGTGAAGTGTCGAACCGGCTTTTGAGTTATTATTTTTTGGTGTCTCAAACTGACTCACAAGTTCTCTCTGTATCCCAAAACTCATGTTGGCACTTCAAAAGATGACTAACTTTGGGGTTATTTTATTGGGCGTTGTTTGTATAAAGCCGAGGTTCTAAACAATCAAAATAAATCACATCTTTAAATAGTGTCAAGAGATGTGGTTTCAATACTGAAAAATCTTTATGATAGCCTTAAAATATATTTGTGTTTCTAATTATAAAATTCAAAGCTTCAAAAATAGTGTAGATCGAATAGATCTATGAAAATTTTAAAACTTTAAAATTTGTCTGTCCAAAAATGCATTACAAAATGCACTACTTCCAAAACTTGAGAGCTATTGTTTTCTCATGCCCACACATCTTGAGGTCGAGATGATCAATTTGAGGATATTTGGGCATCAAAACAACATCTTCTAGTTAAATTTTTGAGGTACACCCTAATTTTATTGTTTAGAGCCTAGCACTTATATAAATTATTTCCTATCTTGTAGATTGGTACTTGAAGTGTTAACAAACTTCTAGGCTATCCTTTTTTGCCAGAAGTTGGTTTAGCACTCTTCGATGCCACAACACTAAACGGACTTCTAGCTTATTCTTTTGGCTATAAGTCGGTTCAATACTTGAAGTACCAAATTAACTAACGGGTTTTATTTTTTGCTAAAAATTTTAGTTTGGCCCAACTTTTGGGTCATCTTTTATTCCACCTACCACCACCTATCTAGACATGAGCTGCACAAAAAAATAACGCATCAAGTGCTGAACTAGGGATATGTCGAGAATAGAATATCATGTAAAAAAGAAGAGACCTTGACTTAAAATATGAAAATTTTAAGGCTATGTTTTAATGGGTGTGGTTTGTACAAGGTTGCAAACTTTAAACAATAGACGCACCTCCAAATTTTATCATAACATATCATTTTGATGTAAAAATTTATTATGATTATCTGTAAATCTATTTTCATATCTAATTCTAAAATTTTAAACTCTAAAAATGGTTAAAATCAAATAGATATATAAACGTGAAAATATTGAAAATGGACGGTCTAGATAATATGTTGCAAGATGTACTATTTCTCGGATTCAAATTTTTTTTTATTTTTTTATATTCATACATCTCGATGTCGAGATGATCAATTAAAGTGTTTTTCAATATGAAATAACATTTTTTGATAGATTTTTGAAGTGCATATTTCAATTCTACATTTTAAGGTAGCTACTTCATATGAACTTTTTTTTTCCCCTCTAATTCCAATAACTATTACGCTATTTAAATAAAGGAAAATTGTTTCATGCAAGTGGACCGCATTTCTACACATGCGATCCATAAAGTGTAAAGCATCCATCTTAAAAATGGATGTAAGTAGGTATTCCATCTAAAAACAATGGAAACTAACTGTCCAAATGTTTTATTACTAGAATTATTATTTATAGTTTTTAAATTTTATTTATTTTTTCATATTCACGATCTCCATGTTAGAGATTATATATCTTTAAAAATTAAATCTTAAAATCCATCTAAAAAATAGACTTATTAAAAAGCCCACATTTCTACATATGCGGGCTTGGCCTCGTAGAAACTAGGTCCTTAAATAATTTTTCTTATATATATTTTTTATTACTTGCTTTATTTATTTTTGTTGATCATAAGATATGCACTATCGTCATGAAATTGTGTTATAAAGAAAAATATATTCCGTAACTTGGGATGTATTAAATATCCCAAATCCATCTAGGTGTTTGCATACGAATGCATCGGTAGGTGTAGAGGTAAGGTGCACATTCAAATTTTATCGTGGTATTACAATTTGGATGTAAAATATTATTAGGATTATCTCAACATCTATTTTTATATATAATTATAAAATTTTAAATTTTTAAAATGGTTAAAATCAAGTACATATATAAACATATGAAAATCTTGAAAAAAAAAACATATGAAAATCTTGAAAATGGATGGTGTAGATAATATGCAGTAAAATGCACTATTTTTTAGACTTTCATAGTCTTACATATCGATGTCGAGATGATCAATCAAAGGGTTTTTCAACATTAAAACTACCTTTTCTGGTGGATTTTTGACGGATTATAAGATAACATCTTTATATAAACTTTTTCCTTTTAAAATTTTATAATTATATAAGTGGTTCTCGATCTTTTAAGAAGATTTGGAGCTGCAAGGATTTTTTTCGAATTTTATGATACATCCAAACCATTAAACTTCACATTGGATGGTTGTAACTTATAAGTAATTGGACCACCTTGTAGCAAAGGTAAATGGTCTCATTTGTCTACAACAATGTTCATAAAATCCAACCGGAATGGTTAACCGGATATGGGCCTGGAGCAGTTTAACCGGCCTCACCGATAAACTGGCCGATTCAACCACTCTAATCGGGCAAATCCCGAGTGGTCAAAAGAGTATTGAAAAATAATACAAAAAAAATATAATAAAATATGAAAAACATATAAATAATGATTAAAACAAAACACATTCAAATGAAGTTGAAAATGAAAGAAAAAATGGATTTTAACCCGTTTTATATTTTTCAAATACTAATTTTTAAAATTTCTAAAAAAGATGGAAAAATATAAAAATGAGCATTAATGACTGTTTGTCATAATCCAAATAATATTTAAAAATACATTGAAAATCAAAATTTTTAAATATTTTTGATTTTTTTTAAATACCCATTAATCACTCTAATTGCGTTAATTGAAAAAATAAAATAAATAAATAGGCCGACCGAACTAACTGGACGGTTAGCAATTAGATGGGGCGATTTTGCGAACAATAGTTCACAAGGACAATCCCTTATAGTTTTATGCAAACTGCGCGCTTGATGAAAATTCCGAAGAGCAAAGAGAGTGCACCACGTAATCGAAACACTCACCTGGTGGCAGAAACTGCTACAGAAACCCTAACCAGAACCCAGAGCTTGAGCCATGGCCACCATCGAACTCGCGCCACCGCCACCCCACCGCAAGCCTCCCGCCCCTGGCAAGGGCGGCGTTATAAGCCGGGGCCTCACTGACGAGGAGGCCCGGGTGCGGGCCATCGCCGAGATCGTGGGCGCCATGGTCGACGCCAGCCGGCAGGGCCTCGATGTCGATCTCAATGCCCTCAAGGCCACTGCATGCCGGCGCTATGGCCTTTCTCGAGCCCCCAAACTGGTGGAGATGATTGCTGCTTTGCCGGAATCAGAGAGGGACAATGTTCTGCCGAAGCTGCGGGCAAAGCCGGTGAGGACGGCATCCGGGATTGCCGTGGTGGCGGTCATGTCGAAGCCGCACAGGTGCCCTCATATCGCAACCACTGGGAATATTTGTGTGTACTGTCCTGGAGGGCCGGACTCGGATTTTGAGTACAGTACACAGTCGTATACTGGGTATGAGCCGACGAGTATGAGGGCAATTAGGGCAAGGTACGAGCCATAGAATGGTTGAGAATTTTTTATTTTTTTTCTTTTTTGGGCTAAATAGTGGTTGAATTATTATTGTTGCTGTTGTTATCATTTTCAATTATGGTTAGGTATGGTGGTGAGCTATTATTTTTTGTGATTTTTTATTTAATTTTATTTTCGGTCCATAAATTTGGGTGGGAATTGGAAAAATGATGCATTGATATTATTTTCACTGATTTGGGGTTATGCAAGTTAGATATGATAATTGGGATTTTTTTATTCTTTTTTTTGTGTTATCGTTGGTATGAGTGCGTAACTAGACGAGAATGTTGAGTGGCAAGACAAAAACGGATAGAATTTATAATGAATAGAATTTAGGTGTGGCTTCAATAGGAGATAAGATGAGAGAAATGTGCAGTGTGGGCGTACTACAATACCGGTTAGGTGGTGCAGTTTAGTTCAAGGGCTCTAAAGGGAAAAGGAAGAAGGCCCAAAGGACATAGATAGAAGTAGTGGGAAAAGATATGGTGAGTTTTTGTCGAGGGTACTATCCCTTGATAGTTAATGTAGTCAACCTCAAATCATTGGGATAAGGCTTGGATGATGATGGTCATTATGTGTGTTTTATTTATTTGTATTTATTGGATTTGAGTTGGAGTTTTGGGACTCTGTTTGGGCAGTATTGCAACCTACTGGGCGAGAAACTGGAATAGCAAAAGAAATGGACATGGATAGTAATTCCCTGAACTTTTATATTACATTACACATTATTTGTTTTTCTCTTAGCATTATTTTGTGCTACTACTTTGCCTTTTTTTATATGTATGTATTTCTCTCCCTTGATCTAATTGGGTTGGCTAATGAGTACTTTCAAATTATATTTGATTTTGCATGTTGGTTGTATTTTCTTTTATTTATTTATACTTTCTGATGGTCCATCTGGGTTTGAATGTGCATAATTTTGAATTGTTGTGCTCATTGTGTTTTTCTTTAGTTATTTTTTATTTGCTTGGTCTCTACTTGTTTCATGGTCTGAATGGGTTCAGAAAGGTTTCTTTTCATGTACGGTTGATTATGTTTGGTTATGTTTCAACTTCGAAAGCCCTGGTCACATTGCTTCTGATTCTAATATCCTGTTTTGGTTTGAGTCTGTTTGCTTCTTCATAAATTTGATTTAGGGATGTTCTCATTTTATTTTATTGCATAAGAGATGTCCATTCATGGCCTTTTGGCTTACTTTTCAGATACAATCCATATGTTCAGGCTAGGAGCCGAATAGATCAGCTTAAGAGACTGGGGCACAATGTTGACAAGGTTCGTTGCATTTTTTTAAACATTTGCTTTCCAATTGTTTTTGGATAATTCGGTGCGGAAGGGAGGCCCCTACCCTTTTTTTTCAAATAGATGAGGAGTTAGCTTTTTGAAGGTGTTAGTGGGTGATGATGTTAGTGGTTGGAATGGAAACCACAACATGGTGACTAGGTTGTGGGGGTGCTACCACCACGACCCCAGCCCTTTCCTACATTTGCTTTTGCAATTGAAAAGACTATAGCCATTTTCTTTTTTATTCTGATGTACCCCACTTGCATTTTTACCTCGATCAAAGAAAGTAGCCTGACTCTCTCTCTCTCTCTCTCTCTCTCTCTCTCATATGTGCTCTTACTTATAGTAGAAAAGTAAATTGCTAGAAAATCTGTTTTGCAGGTCGAATTTATATTGATGGGAGGCACTTTTATGTCACTGCCGGCTGATTATCGGGATTATTTTATTCGGAATCTCCATGATGCTCTATCAGGGCACACCTCAAGCAATGTGGAGGAGGCGGTATGCTATTCAGAGCATAGTACAACAAAATGCATAGGAATGACTATTGAAACGTAAGTAATTCTGCTAAGGAAAAACATGTGGTTGATCTCTTCTATTTATGCATACATTTTGCTTTTACTAATCAGAAAAATTATTTGTATTTTTCTTTGTGAATACTGAATTTATTAGGCGTCCTGACTATTGTCTTGGACCTCATTTGCGCCAAATGCTATCGTATGGTTGTACGCGACTTGAGATTGGAGTTCAAAGCACATACGAGGATGTCGCTCGAGACACAAATCGTGGGCACACTGTTGCAGCAGTAGCAGATTGCTTTTGCTTGGCCAAGGATGCTGGTTTTAAGGTGTCTACCTTTCATTACCTTTGTGTTTTACCTTACTTGATTCTGCTGTGGCTTTTCTAGTTACCTAAGTTTTCGTTAGAAGTCCATTTAGCCAGGTGTATTTTCCTAGAACCACATTTGATGAATCTATTGTCTAGAACGACCATGCTTTGTACTTCATTGTGTTTGAATCAATGTTCTAAAATTCGCCTGCCCGATTGCCTAGGCGAATTTTTTTTTAAAAAGCCTAGGTGCAGTTTGGGTGGGGGCATTATGCGTTTTGCTTTTGGTCACCCAACTAGGCAGGCAAGGCGCCGCCTAGGCGCTATTGTGTGGGTGCCTGCCTAGTCACCGCCCATGACAACTTGCGAGCGGCAGAAAAAAACCCTCGGGTGAGGGTAAAAAATGTAATTTTTTTCCCCTAAAACGGGGGAAAAGGGTTTTAGGGGGTGTTCTAAACCCCCAATAGAAAATCCGTGTCCTTTAGGGTGAGAAAAACCCCTCAAAAACCACTCTTTGGTGATTTATCGAAAGATCGATAAAGTTTTTATTTTTTCGATTTCTTCCTAAAACGAAAGCAATAGTTCGTGGGTGGATTTGGAGCTTCCAATAGTTGATTTTGAGAAATTTTAGCGACCCAATAGACAAGATTTGCACCTACATCGATTTGATTTTGATATTTTTAAAGTATTATCATATTTGAAAGAGGGTTTTGATTTTATTTTGCTACAACATATTATGTTATGAATCATGTGCTTTCTTTTATGAAATATTACATGTTTGTAGTTAAAAGATTAATTTTTTTGGTGACTTATTGATTTTTTTCTCACTTGGACGATGAAATTGACCATATATTGTATTCTTTTATGAATACTTTTTTTTGAGAGAAATTCTTTTATGAATAATTGATTCCTTTTTTGTACAATTTGTCTTATTTTGATATTTTATTTTTTTGTTTTAGTTTATTTGATAAATAATTGATTATGTGATATCTTAATGGGTTAAGTCTTATGTGAAAGTGAAACTAAAGTCTTAAAATGTCTTATACATTCAGTTGTTCATTTAAGTCTTCTTGTAAAGTAATAGTTAGTGTCTTAGTGACTTAATTCTTTAATAGTTTGGGTTGGGTTGGGGTGGGGTGGGGTGGGGTGGGGGGGCGGGGGGTTGATTTTGGTGAGGGCACCCTGTCCCTTGGCGCCCGCCTAGGCGGCCAGGCACCCAAACCTCCTAGGGCCCCGAATACCTTTTTTTGAACATTGGTTTGAATGTATAGTTATTACTGTATAACGACTTTTTTTTACTTAGTAATTGTACCATGTTTTCTCTTTTACTCATTAATAGTATTTCTACTTGAAAAACAAATAGTACTATACATTAATTGTATAGAAAATTGAAGAGGACAGGACCATCAAGAACCATTATTTACTGGGTGCAACAACTTGCTTACTTCTAATGGACACTTCTCCAATGCAAAAAGCACTCAGCCCACCATGTTATTACCTCACTATTCATACGTTTGATACACATCCCCATTCAAACTTATGTTGTTTGCGATGTCTTATTGAATCTATGTCTTTTAAGAAAATTTATGCTTTAAATAGAGCTTATGCGGCATTACAAGTATACTCTGTTTGCAAAATTGAAGCTCAAAAACTAGGGGAGAACTTTCCCATCTCCAAACGCATACTCGTGCCAAAATTGTTATCCTATGCCACTCTCACAAAATTTACTATCCTATGCCAGTATATTTGTATGTCCTATGCTGTGTGATTTTCTTGTTGCACGTTCTTGAGTGAGAGAATCTGCTATTTGAATAGCCTCTCTCCTCACATGTGAAAATGTAACTTCTAACTTGGTGGTCCTTCACGCCCTCTCTTCCAAAGTACTGGCCAAGTGGCATGGACATTCAGCTGTTCTAATAACCCGAGCAATTGTGTGAAGAGTGAAGAATTTATGTTCTTTTAGTGTCAATCATACTTTGGCCTTGTTTGAATGAAGTAAGAACTATATGCTGGCCTCGAATATGTTATTAGTATACTTCCATGTGGTTAGAACCACATCCCCCACCCCAGGGAGCATGAAACTGCACCTAAAGGTGCCATTGAAGTTCAAGTTTGGTTTGCCTTCAGCTGGTAGAGTCCGTCTTGCGGACTGAGCTTCAGTTGCAGTTTTGGTCCATGCAGTATCTCTCCATGGGCCATCTAAATTTGATGCTGATTGTCCCTAGTACTCCGTATGAACTAGCGACCATGATAGAAGGCTTTTACCAAGTCTTTCCGTGGGCTTTTCTCCTGATAATATTGTTATTTGTTTCTAACCAAATCAACCAAGGCACATCCAAGAGACATAATCGCCACAACATTAAACTCCTCTTAGGGATGACAAGGAAGAACCATTTTCAATACATATCTTCTACTGATTCTGGTATTGCGCATTCACATACAGATTATATTTACCATATATAAATATCCATCTTGCAATGAAGGAATAGACGGGGGCTGGTCTCAGCATCTCATCTACACATCGTGCACCTATTTGGAACTGGAATGCCTTTGCCCATGACGTGATTGATTGTTAAGTCCTTATCCAGGATTATAAGCCAGCCAAATAGTTGAATTTTCTGTCGTCCAGGGATTCCCTAGATTATTTGTGGGAGAGCTATAATAGCTTTTGAGCATGTTAGCCTCCTGTAGAAGGATTTCACAGTAAAATTTCCTTTTCTTTGAGGCCACCATACCAATCTGTCTTCACCTCTACTGGTAGTGGAAAGGTCTATAATTCTCCCTACAAGTTAGTCAATGCCCCATTTCCCCCTCCTCATATTTCTCCTAAATTGTGGCTTCCAATTGTGGTCCTCCGTCTTATTCCCTAGCGGCAACCTGATGTCTCCACAAACATTCAGAAAAACCTGATGTCTCCATGTAATTTCTTAAGAACAGCCACAGATTATCTGATTGATCTTCTTTAGGCTCACATATACAATTGCGTAATCCACGTACTGTAGTTTTTTCAATGGGACCCCTGGCTAGGCCTCATCATCATCAGAGCCTTTCCTTGAATCCTGTACAAGACCTACAATAAGTTTTCTTTTATCCAAAAAGGGATGACGCATGATGAACTCATAGGAAACTGGACAGCAAAGAAGAGTTCGCAACCAAGTCCCTGTATTGCCTCCTAACTAAGTCAACTGAGCAAAGCTTCTGGGCTTGAGAGGTATGGTCCATTCCTGTCCTCCCAAAATCCAAACCTTCATGTGGATGGCTGTCTGTAAAAGGGTGCTTACCATTGAGTACTCAATAATTTGTTTCTACTCTGCCCAATTGCATGGCAGATTGGGCTTTTGTCTTAAATTTGTTTGGATTTGTTCTGGTTCAACCATCATCAGTAGAGGAACTGTTGAACTGATGGTTTAATCTTCCATTGCCGAAGGGAAGAATACTTCTGTGGAGAATGACAGTACCTGCGGCTTTGGCTGATTTGGCTGGAGTGAAACAGCAGATGTTTCAATGATAGGAGCAGCGGGTTTGAAAGAGTTAAGGCACAAGTTAAAGCAACAGTTACAACATGGGCAGACTGCAGAAAGAATTTTGGGGATACTCCACATCAGAGTTTGAGAATTATATGAAGGTCATTACTACAGCATGAGCAGTAAGGGATGCACATCCCGTTAAAAAGGCCCCTCTTCCTGTAGGATCAGTAAAGTTGGAACTTTGATGAAACATCTAATGGTAGCAGCTGGTCCTTCAGGAGTAGGTGTATCTTGAGGGACCAGTGAGGCAAACTTCTGATGGTGTACTCAGGAATGTTACATATGTTAATGCAAATGAGGATCAAACATGGTCCCTTCTATATATGGCTTGCAAAGCATAAAACAGAGATGGCTGAAAGCAGTTATTGAGTAAAGGTCAGGCAGCGTGCCCATGGCATATCCATTACAGTTTATGAAGAAATCAACGCTTTGTCTGAGAATACAGGTAACATTCATCCACAGTTGGAAGTAACCCAATGTTGAAGCAGATGCTCTGGTGCTTGGAGGAATGTCCAAACTTCGGTCAACTTTGGCTAGAGTTCATGTGAATAGAGTCAACTGTGCATGGTTTCAATGATGTAAAGGAAAGATACAGCAAGTTTTGCAGTGAACGAAATTCAGTTAACGCCCCCCCCGCAAAAAAAAAAAAAGTTAAAGCAACGCAAGCTTTTGCTTTGCATTTGATATGTGCTTTGTTGTCGACTACTCTTGCTGACATCACCACTATTGGCTTTGTAAATGGCCTTGATCAGATGAAGGAAGTTGGATTGGGCCGATCATTTGATGCATTGTGTGGTTTTATGCTCAAAACCTCACTTTTATGTTTTCATTGGAAATGTTAAAATAATCTGTGATGGGAATGTGTTTTGGTTCACTATTCTCAATGTTTAGGTAAATTAACTATTCCAGACGCTCCTCCAAAAGCCTGACTGTGGACAACTAACAAAACCCAATTTTTTGGTTAGATCAAAATGAATAGGATTCCTCCCATGCATGCAAATGATTCTTCTTTTCAAGGATGGTGGATAACCCCTCTCCTGCAAACCTCATCCATCTCACTATGATGCTTCAAGGACTTTGCGGGGCATCGACTTTTTTCCCTTGACCTTTGCTCACCCTCTGTTTTTTATCGACTTGTCAATTTTGTAGGTGTAGTACCTATTCTCAATATCCCTTCACACTCCAAAGGTCTTCAGCTCCAATGTATCCTCCTATAGAGCTAGTGATTGTTGCTGTGACTTAATTTGCCTAGATAATAGATATGCAAGGCGAGCGCTGCTAGCTCATGGTGTTCGATATGTTTGAAAGGTAGGCTTGCACAATACTTCAATCAGCACACTGTATATGTTGTCTTACATTAACATTGACCATGTTGAAGGTGTCTGGCACAGAAACCCAAAAACTGTGATACAAATATTTTGTGGAAAACATGAAAATATAAATGATAAATAATATGAGATTTCCTAATTAAAAAATTATTGAAAAATTCATCTCAATGCTTCCCTTGAGGAATATTGGTTTTGCATGTTTACGTCTGTCACTTCTAAAGAAAATGTGGCAGTGCTTCCCCAATGAAATGGTTGACACTTTCAAAGAAGTTTCATCAGCATAATGGACACTTCCAAGGAAGTTTACCAATGTTAAAATCAAATTTTGTGGGTAGAACCTAAAGAGCGATCTAATGTCATGCATCACGATTTACCAATCAAAAGTAAGTGATTAGCAGATTCCACATTACTTGCTATACAATTGTGTCATTTTCTTTTTTTTTGGGTAGGTTGAATTTTTTGATGCTTCTGGAGGCAATAATTGCAATTTCTCCTAGATTCCACATTTTGTTCCATGTACTGCATTTGATTAGGGAGTGAACAGCGAAACATCTTATAATGGTTCTTGTGTTTGGATCATGCCAAGAGTGTATAGGTCGCCTGTTGCTAATGTGCAGCTCAAAGGGAGTCCCTGTCTTATAATATCTGAACTTTGCTTTTTATCTATTTTAGCCTGGATATCTGTAGCTGTCTTCAAGAATCCATTTCCAACTGTCAATTTGCTAACCAGTGTATTCAAGTGACACACTGCTTTTAGTTTGGTGTTTATTGGGCTGATTACCTCTTGAAATCTACAATGTTTGATTTGTAATGCAATTAGGATTATTACATTACTCATTTTAAATGTGGATAGGTCTTTTGATCCATGATGCAAGTAGTAAGAGTGTAAGGAGGTCTTTAAATGTTGATAGGTCTTCTGATCTATGATGCAAGTAGTAAGGAGGTCTTTACATCAGTGTGGTCATAAATATGTCAATGGACATTTTAAGCTGCTTGGGGCCTTCACATATAATTACTGAGAAAGTTGTAATGCTGCACTGTGTGGACATTGAGTTGGTTTGTTGCTTTATAAATTTTGTTCATGTCTTCGAGCTGGTAGGTGGTTTTATAAATTTCCTTCATGTCATTCAGGTTTATATGTAGGTTGTTGCGCACATGATGCCTGATCTACCTAATGTTGGTGTTGAGAGAGATCTGGAAAGTTTTCGGGAGTTCTTTGAAAGCCCCTCATTTAGGGCTGATGGTCTTAAAATCTATCCCACACTAGTAATTCGTGGAACTGGGCTTTATGAGCTTTGGAAAACTGGCAGGTAATGATTATCCTCCTTACTTTGCATATTATTTTATTTGCTGAAAAATGGTAACTCGAGTAAATTCATATGAATAAGTTTCCCAAAACCATCTTGTTCTTTTAGGTACCGAAACTATCCTCCGGAACTACTTGTGGACATAATTGCAAGGCTCTTAGCCATGGTACCTCCATGGACACGTGTGTATCGAGTTCAAAGGGATATCCCTATGCCTCTTGTTACTTCTGGAGTCGAGAAAGGAAATCTTCGTGAGTTGGCTTTGGCTCGAATGGATGACTTGGGCTTGAAGTGTCGTGATGTTAGGACACGTGAAGCTGGAATACAGGTAGGGTTGTCTTTTGGTTGGTTTCATATTTCTTATGATTCTCTCTTTTTTAAAAGCGCTATCACTTGTGAATTTACCTTCTAACGTTGTAAATTCTTTTAGGATATTCACCATAAAATAAAGCCTGAAGAAGTGGAGCTTGTGCGCCGTGATTATGCTGCTAATGAGGGTTGGGAGACTTTTCTCTCCTATGAAGATACACGGCAGGTAGTATTTTGGATGTTCAATACATTAATCCAGATTAAACGTGTTTGACTCAAGTTTATTTAATAAGTTGATTTTCCTCATTGTTTGCTGTCATACTAGTTGATTTTCTTGACACTATTACTGAAGAATTAGTCAATTGCTACAGTAATTCTATGTGCTATGTTATGGTGGTCCATGTATTACTGTTATTTGCTTCTATTCAAATTAGTGTTTCAATGTAAACATATTGCAAGGAATTTTGATTAGTGAAAAACTCGCCCCGTAAATTACCTGATTTCTTCAAACTAGTTTTAATTGAATAATGTAAATAATTGAATGTAAAGACATTTTACGTATGAACGTGGTGGTAATCCATACTTTTCAAATTGTTTAAGGCTAGTCTAGCATGCTTATCAAAAAAAAGAAAAAGAAAAAAAAGAACAGAAAAAAAAAAAGGGCTATCTAGCATTGTGTTACGAACATTAAGGCATACTTAAGTTTTAAAATATTGATTTAATTTTAATTTTAAAGAAAAATTATCTTACAATCAATATGAACAAGATATGCTGAAGAGTATAGTTTTTTCTTTAACATCTTAGTTAAGTGCTCTCAAATTATTTTTCCATAACAGCAGCCTCATTCAACAATTGTGGTTGATTAGGGCACTTTCACTGAATTTTCCCATTGCTTTTCTGTTTCTCCTTTGATATACTGAAATGGAAAAGAAACATAATACAATATTCAGACAAGCAAATACCCCTAAGGCCTAAGAATAGCCCGTTAATGTTTACCCATCTATAGATACACTCGAATGTCTTTCTTTTCACCTCTTGTCTACCTTAGTTCAGAATATCATGTATCTGAATGAGGGCCAGTGAGACAGAAATTTGGGACCACCTTTGTGACATTCAGGGAGGCAACTCAAATCACGCTTGTTGTGATGTTCTTCCATTTCCTAACAAATGATCCTAAATCCAATGGAACCTGTGTAGCGTTGTTGTATTTTTCAGTTATCATTCATCAGTATGCAGGAGTTGGTAAAGGCAAGGTGCTCCAGACATACAACCTATAGACATAAATCTCATGGGAATGGACTTTTGTCTATAAGTTCCTTTGTTCAAATTTTCTGATCCATAAACTTTTCCGAGTCATTACCTTGCAGCAGCTTATGTGTTGGCCTCTTGTGGAAATGGTTTGGCTGCTCCAATTTGTAGACTATTTTAGTCTTGTCGTAATTCTTATTATTTTTTTTGGAAATTTACTTCTATTATGTATCAGAATTGGATTTGAACAGAATCTGTCAAATCTGACAGTGTGTACAGATTCGAAATAAGAGAAGCTTACACATTCGGTACAGTGAAGGGATTGAGGTTTATTCAACGAGGTTTCTTGACAAACCTAAGTGTGAGAGGGTGTTCTAGAGACAGATTGGTTTAGAGGACGCCTTCTTTTGCCAGTGTATATGCATTGTGGTTTACTTCTCTATGAGTATGCCAGAAAGACGCTTCAATGATTGGCATAGTCTGAAGATTTGATTGAATCACTTGTCCGAATCTCCTTGGGCTGGATAAAGTTTTGGACGCCCATGCTGTAACATTCCATTAAGTCTCATTCCACCATTGGTTGTGGGCCCTGTGGGTGACTAACAGTGCAAAGCCTAAACTACAAGTGCCGTGTAACTCTCCGAAATTCATTTTTATAATAGTGTCTCTACCAATCCCTATTCCATTTGATGATTGAGATCCTTGGGGAATTAGCCTTTAGATATTCCTCATGTTTAATGCGATATTTCTTTTCCTGCTCCTTATCGAAAATAGTTGGGATAAGGCTCTGATGATGATGATGTTGAGTTTTTAAGTGCTCACTCAAAGTTCATGGATTTAAGCTTCCCTTTCCTTTGGACTTGGAATAGTTCGCGTAATGAACGTGGGAATTTGATTAATTTGTTTCGTCGTCTTGTAGGAACTTACACTACCATTCTTAGTCATTTGATTTCTTATTGTATTAATCATTGCTTATGCAGGACATTCTAGTTGGTCTATTACGGTTGCGTAAGTGTGGTCCAAATACAACATGCCCAGAACTGATGGGAAGATGCTCAATTGTTCGTGAACTTCACGTGTATGGAACTGCAGTTCCTGTGCATGGGCGTGATGCTGACAAACTGCAGCACCAGGTATTTTCCTAAATCTATGAAGTATAGCATGCAATAATAAGAGATTCTATCTATCCACGCAACCATGCTGACAAATGAGGTGGACAGTGAGACAGTCATGCTACTGTCTGATGCATAATCTGTTGATGTGCCCATGTTTAAGTTCATTTTGTTATCTTATGTCGCACATGAGATAGTCAAGTAGTGTTCGTGGACACTACCCTCGAAGTATCATAAGTATACTATAAGAGGGTAGTTTGTATGCCAACATTTTTAGTAGTGAGACCCATCATACGTACTTACACTATCCTTCTTGAAGAGAATTCACTAGATTGTGCATTCTACGATATTACATGAAACAAGCGTTCACATGATAGTTTGTGCCAACACTCCCAACCAGTGTTTTAAAAATCCCTGATGTAGCTTGGAGCTGGTGCGTGACTGGTCTGAGTCCCCATGGAATCGGGACTCAGATCAGTTCACCCTGAAAATCATGACTAATGTCATAGAAACATTTTCTTTAGATTGATTTGAGAATCCTAAACCTAGTTTAAAAGTTTTAAACAACAAGAACTAGATTTTACGATTTATTTTCTTGTTTAATTTTGCTGAGTCAGTTGGGCCAGCTTGTCGAGTCTGCCCATCCTGCTCGGAACTAGTTGGTGACCTGTTCGACCCACCGGACGGATCTTGAAAACACTGCTCCTAATCAAACCCTTACTGCTCCCTTCCAGGCTCTATGAGACCATTTGAGTAAAGTTGGGAGAACATGAGCAGTACCTTTTTTCTGGATGAATACATAGGCAGTACCTTGATGGACCTAAAATCAATTCTTGGACTATATATCAAAACTCTACAACCCTACATCCTAAACATGCCGACAAATGATTCCGGCATAGTTTAACCACAAAAAAAGATAATTGGGACATTGGTAATTTTGTTGAATTTGTGCTTGCTCATGATTTATTCATGCTTTGTTGGTATTCGAACTTATTTAGTTTTATTTTCGTTCTTACTATTCCTAACAGGGCTATGGGACACTCCTTATGGAAGAAGCAGAAAGGATTGCTCACAGGGAGCATAGGTCCACAAAGATTGCTGTCATATCAGGCGTTGGTACAAGAAATTATTACAGGAAACTGGGCTATGAGCTTGAAGGTCCTTACGTGGTCAAATATCTTGTCTCAAATAAAAGAACCTAGACATGTGATCTTAAAGTTCATAGGAGAAATTCCTCCTTTCTTTGTGTTTCTTTAATCCCTGCAAGGGGGTGTGGGTACACCAGGGGGGGGTGGGTACACCAGATGGGTGCAGCGTCGCTGAAATTATTGGACTTGGGCTCACCCCATTTTCACTATGCTTCGGATTCTAGGTCCTCCCAATTTCTAGTAGAATTTGGTTCAGCCAAGTCTAGTAGAGTTTTGTAGAAAATCAGTGGATGGGTATGTACAGGTTCAATTAAACAGTTTTGTTTATGTTTTCAGGCTACACATGCAGGGATGTGTACAGGTAGCCACCTATCTTTTAGTAAGGAGGAAATTGCAATAAGCGAGATAAAATTTGTGACTTAGATTTGCAATGATTATTGCTACAATTAATCTATCTTTTACTGACATTGGGACCTCTGTGTATACATTAAGACCTCTCTACTTGTCCTAATATCATTTGAGGTCAAATGATAATTTGTATTCCCAATCTTTCATGTCAATATCTAGAGTTCCATCTCTTGGGGTGGCTATCATTTCTTTCTGCATATTATTTCAGATGTTCTGTCATTTCCCCTAGTGCCCTATGAAGACTATTGATATGTGCCTTAGACCGGCTCTGATCTCTAAAGGGCTGGCCCAAGCTCCGCCAGCCTTGACTGGGCCGAAGAAGCCCTGGTTGAGGCCGGGCCTAATGCACTTTTAAGGGGGGAAAAGAAAAAAGGAAACAAAGAGTTGGACAAGGCAGGGTGGCCCAGCCCATATCATGGCCTTGGCCTAGTCCCGGTCTGGCTCTACCCTCCGGTTGTTGTCGCTTGGCCCCGGCCCAGTCCTCTCAAGCCACAATTTGTGGCCCAGGCCTATTTTTGCCAGCCTGGACCGACGTGCTAGGCCACCCGGCCCATAGTCACCCCTTATTAACTCATTACTGTGTGCCACTCAAGCGGAGTTAAAGTGCAAAAGAAGGGGAACAAAGTAAACTGCTTGGCCCGTAAAATTCAACATGATTAAGGGATTTATTAGTTAATTAATTCAACAAGATTTAGAGATTTAAATATAGAGGGAATATAGCAATATAGAAAAAAATATTAAAATTTTAGTAATTAATCTACACGGTGTTGGTGGGTGAGACATGGGATTAGAAACCTGGACGTTGCGAAGAGGCTGTCATAAAGTGCCCACATCCCCTATGTGTAGGTACTTTCTCTTTTGTTTTTTTTGGCATCCCCTATGTGCATGTACCAGTGTTCGACTACTTGGCCCGAGTTCTAAGTACTTGGGCCAAGTATCTCCGAGTTGGGTGTCCTAAAAGAAATTTAAAAAATAGTAAAAAATCTCCAAAAATAAAAAAATTTATTTGTAATATGTTTTTTTGTTATATTCTTTGTCATTTTGGCAAAGATTGAAAAGTGTTTTTTTTTTTCATGAACTTATTTTTATATATTTTTTTCTTTTTTGGATTATTTCTAAATGACCTGGTTTCTATGCGGTCAAGCCCACATATGTAGAAATGTGTGCCTATCAATAAATCTACTTTTGAGATGGATTTTGGGACTTAATTTCTAAGGATATGTAAGCTCTAACATGGAGATCATGAATATTAAAAAAAAGAGTAAATTTTGAAACTTAGAAATAATAATTCTAGTAAGAAAACATTTGGACTGTTAGTTTTCATTGTTTTTAGATGGAACATCTACTTGCATCCATCTTTAAGATGGATGCTTTACACTTTTTGGATTGCATATGTAGTTATGCGGTCAGCCCGTACGAAACAATTTTCCATTTCTAAATGATGAAGTTTATATAAGGCATAGGCTATATGAAAATAAAATAGAGGTTCACCTCAAATCCTTTTTCGGAAAGTATTTCCGGCAAAGGAAATCTCTATGATGGCTCTAAATTCAATTTCCAGCCCCGATAATAAAATTTGAAACACAAAAACTGTTCAGATCTTGTGGATCTATGAGCACTTATTTTTAGGAAGAAACGAATGATCTGGATAATTTGTTACAATATACATTGTTTTTAGATTTGAAATTCTAATTTCTTTTCAAAACTATAATGTCAAGCCGGGATGATCGATGTAAAGGTTTTCCAATGCTTGAATTGCAATTTTCGATGAGTTATAAAGCGAGGCTTTATTTATTTTTAAAGGAAAACCATTTTCCATTTCTAAAATATCCCCATCACAAATTGAGTTTTTCAAATTTTCACTTTTTTAACCTCGAGATGTTCGTTATTTAATTTTATTTTAAACATAATTTTCTTATTTTGGGGACTTTTTATTTTCTAACTCGTTTTAGCCTGGCAAGAACTCGGTCGTACTCAAGCGGATTTACTTGGACTCGGGTCGAGTGAGGCTCGGGCAGTGGCCGAGTACGCAGCCTAAATAGTTGTTTAGAACACTGGCATGTACTAGCCTAGCTAAGAGCTTTGGGAGTATTATTTCATTCGCATTAGTCCACAGTGCTCTTGCATAAGCATCGTCATTTCCATGTGATAAACTTGTGAAGCCAAGTTTTTTAGGAAATAAAGGATTTACCTCATATCATGTTTCCCTTTTTCATTTTTTATTTTATTTTGACATGGTTACATTGAAATTTGAAACGAAAACCCAACCTCTACTGTCTTGACCAAGCCCAATTCCTGATATCATGTTTTTTAAATGGTTTCGGTATGTGATCTTTCGGGCTCAGGAAAATTACGTGATACGCAATAAGGCCATCTGATTCCTATTAGGAATAGGGATAGAGATGGGCCTTACATGGGTATATTGTTGGCTTTCTTCTTTATATGAGACGTTTTTGAGAGTAAGTTCCTGTAGTCTTTTTAGGGTTTGTGAGAGAGTTTGTAAATTTATATTATCAATACTTGCATGGTGTTTTTCTGGTTGGTGGAAGAGAATTTTACTGCCCGACGTAGGCAATTTGCCAAATCAAAATTTGATGATGCAAATTTCTCAACCAAGAAGGAAATATATGAAAGAAAAACTTTATTTAAGAATGTAACATTCAACGTAGAAGTAATATTGCAGTAATTTATATTATCTATATTATTTGGATGGTACAGATTTGACACTATATTAAAAGTAGGTCAATTTTAGACATTGCCTCAAAAGACATATTAAATTCACACCATCCAACTAAAATAGATAGTATATAACATCGTAACCTTATTTCTAAAAATAAGGTTGAAACCTTATATAACTAATTTCTATAGCTAGATTATTCCATTAATATTTTTAGAATGATACATGAATTTTAAGTTTTCCCACAATCATGTTACAAAGAAATAAAATCCACGCTCCTTTGTATATGGTTCTCTAGGGCTTGTTCTTGTGCATTATTGTTATGGTGCATTACAATATGTGTGGGATGATAAGGAAGATGAATCATGGTTATAGCAAGAAAATTAAGAGGCCATGCTCCTCTCTACATTGTGCATTCAATAGGAAATCAAGATCTCTGCTTCGTCACATATTATCCTAAGAGCATGAAGCTCGAGAGTTTTGATTTTGAGGTGGTGACCAGAGGTTTTCCTGGCTAATTGCACTCGAGCAGGACCTGTAGGTGGCTGCGGTAGTCGATGACACATTATCCTCAGAGCATGAACCCCCATAATTTTGATTTTGAGGCGGTGAGCAGTGGATTTCTTGGCTAACATGAATTGTACTCGAGCAGGACCTGTAGGTGGCCGTGGTAGTCAAATGACCCGGCTTCCGATACAAATGGCGGTCGAAATGGTGGCACAAACGGATGGGGTGCCAAGCGAGCAATGATATGAATATTAGTTTCAGTTTACGGCCTCTTGGCCGGATAAGTGTGAGAGCAGGCAAGCCCGAGATGCAACAATCGTCATGCATCATTACTGTAGTAGTGCCCTTGGAGTCAGGCGTCGACTACTTCAAGGACTCTATCTTCTCTATAAATGCCCATACATGATCAACAAGGAAACCCCTAGTGGTGTCACTTGGCCGCCGGCCGCACACCACCTCAAGGATCATAGCTCCAAAGGCGAAGGCAAAGACATCAGACTCGCATGTGGACTTTCCGGTGCTAAAACACTCAGGAGCTATGTACCCAAGCGTATCACGGATGCCATTCGCCTCCATGTACGAACGTTTCTCCTGGTCAAGTATTCGAGCGAGGCCGAAGTCCCCTAGCCGCGTATTGAAGTCGGAATCGAGCATGATGTTGCTCGCCTTGAGGTCACGGTGGAGCACCTTGTGGTCATACTGGTTATGGAGGTAGTTCAATGCTATGGCAACATCGGCAAGGATCATGTACCTCTGTCCCCAGCCCATACAAGTGATGGTCTAAGCTTCCGTTTGACATGTAGACATAAACCAAAAGAAGCATTCCTTTTTTACGACACCATCCTAGGAAGAGGCAAAGTATTAGACATGCAAGTGCTTCAAAATCTCACCAAATATTAGGTCAATGAAGTGGTTGTATAAACTAATTTACCATGGTAGTGATTACTTTTTAGTAGGGCCGAGAATTTTTTCGATTTGGAATCAAATCCGAATTTTAAGATCCTAACCGGATCTAGGTATGGATCCAAGATTTGGACCTAAAATTCGGATTTGGATCCAAAATCTAGATCCAAATAGTAATTCAGGTAGGATCTAGATAGAGGTGGATCCAACCTAATTTTTTTAAATAATATAATATATTATTTTATATATATACGTATATGTTATAATTTATATATTTGGTAATGTATATATATGTAATATATAATTATTTTACCTTTTATAATTATATCTTAACTTTATAATATATAAAATTGGAATTGATCTGAATCCTATAATTGTTTGGGATCCATTATGGATCCGATCGAATTTGGATTCGATGATACTTTTCGGATCCGATCAGATTTGGATCCGATGATACTTTTTGGATCTAGATCCAGATCTGGGTAGATCCGGACCTGATCCTGAAAATTCTTGGCCCATACTTTTTAAAAATAATTTTACTTAAGTACTCTTGTATAGTTAAAAAAAGACCTAAACTCTTCTCTCAATATCAGGACAAGTGAGGGCATTTTAATAATTTGGCCATGCAAGTTGCTCAAGTCAAAAGACTTATTAAATACCCATACATATTCCGGTTTCAAATGTGGACCGTATTTATTCATTAACAATTATGTTCCACGTTTGCCTTGCTGGTTCTGGGTTCAAAACTCATTAACAAGATTCTTTATAAAAGAACATATGCAGCGTGCGTCTGGAACCAAAAAGTTTGGATCAGATTACTAAGATACCACCTTAGTTCTGGATTACAAAATGAAACATGGGTTGTTTTGAGTAGTTCTAATCAGTACTCGTGAAGATATGCCTAAGAAAGGAATTTTTAAAATGCAACCTAGTAAAATTATTGATTTAACCATCTCATCAATTATTTGAGGTGCTTCGACCAAATTAATGATATTTTTCCAAAAAAAACTAGGCATTGCTCACAGATGTGCCCGTGTCAAAATGTAAATTGTTTGTACGATTAGAAATACGTATCTAACGGTGTCAACACATG